ACTTGGCCTCCTTTCTGCAAATTAACAAAGAATTCTTCCGGTAGAATTTTCACTCGGCCAGTAATTTCTAGTTGCCAACCTTTCTGAAAACCTTTAGGTAATGTTGCAGTCAACGGAATATCCTGGAATCAAATATTATATGAGAATAAATGTGATATTTGTTTTCTAGTACTTGATTCATGAAGTAAATGTAAATATCCTAGATATTCAAGTCGTATTTAAATAACCATAAAGGTTGTTTTTTTTTAAATCAAAGAGTTCAAAAAAAGAGCGGATTCTTTACCTGGCACTTAATCATCATTAAATAATAGTTGTAAAACAAATTTCTATTGGAGGATCACTGTTAAGGTTGTCCTCCCGTATCAATCGAAAACAAAAGTGAAGCGATTTACGTATGTGAAAATTAAATTGAATTTAATAGTAATGATAATAAATTTTCTGAAATATGCAGAAAGCTGATCAAAGAATGTAAACTTTCACGGCCGGTGATGACCGTGTGAAACACCTTTTCCGGGTTTTTTGGCCGTGGTCTGCAGGTTTTTATGCCTAAAGTTTCGTCTACTACTGCGGTAGACATTATATAAGGCGATGTGGTAACGGTCGCAGTGCCGGAATTGGATAGTGATTTTGAGTTTTATCGAGTATTACTGTACCTTCGAATGAAATAATGTGACTGCCACCTTTGTTGAGCGGATGTTCAGCTACAACCGTTTTAATTATGTCGGTTTGTCCTGTATTTAGAGAAACAGGTACCTACATCATGTTGAGCGGTCATCAATATGGCTTTCGGAAACAAAGATCAACAGGCGACCTATTGTATGTCACCCATATTTAGAATAACGCAATCGAGAAACATGGAGATATCACGTCCATCCTGTATGTATGTTAATTTCCAGGTTTTGGACCGTATTTGAAGGGGGGGTTAAGTATGGCAGGTAATGTACCTGCTCTGGTAGGGTCGTGGATTACTAAAGATTTTAACACACTTATTACAATTTAGATGAAATAATTTGGGCGCCAAGTGGTTTTTGAAACTGTTGCTGATAAAAAAACACTAAAATTAACTACTCTGCAGTCCCCTGCCCAACAAAAATGAGTTGTCAAGAGTTATCAAATATATATTACTATATGAAAACAATATAGACAACTTACTACATTGATACTGGTTCCTACCTTATATAATTGGGGACTCTTGCAAAAGTACAAGAAGTATAGAGAAATATCCCTATCACTTCACTAGGCAAGAGATATTGGCCTTATTGACATCTCAGCAACAGTATCATAAATATCACTATTACTACTATCATTATTAATTATGACAATTATAATTATTATTATTGCTTTCGTAATAAAAATAAGTAAAAGAATCGAAAATTAAAAAAAGAAATCTCCTCTATGGAGTACTCATCCGTGATCTTTGTTCTTGAATTCATTCAATGGATGAACTTTTCCTTTCAACTAACAGCTCAGTTCGCCATTTCAATGAATAAGCCACCTTGTATGTCATATGAAGGTCCAGAGAAAATTTTCCACCTTTCCTGCTTGACAACAAGTAGCGATGTAGTCCCAAAAAAAAAGTCTAAAATGCAATGATATCAAAGATTAATCAGTGATCAAAAATGAATCGAATTGTAAGGGTAACACGGTTAAGAAAAATGTTTACCTCTGAGTGACGAGTCTCCTAGCACATCAAAGACGTTTTTTTCCAACAACCGTACAGCAGATACCGATCCAAATTTACTGTTTCACAATATTGGGCATATACCATACACCAGATATAACCATAAATAACACCAATATTGCATAAGGCACTTTGAATTACTTATCCGTATAGTACGTTAACAATTTTGTTGATTCGTACAGCCGATATTTATTCAATCTCTTACAAAATCTCCGCGGATCCCGTCTCGACTTCTCTGGTGTTTTTTTTCGCGCGCAAAAGTATTCGTTGGACTTATTTCTATGTGGAGCCACATACGGGGCGATATTAAATTGTAAAACGTTGAGTACCCGTGATGTTTCCAAGTTTATGTGGAATAAATGTATTCAGCATTGAAGGAAACACATGAAATCCAAAAATCAAAGATAACTGAATATCTTGTACCTTTTCTGGCATCTCTCGAACAATCATATAAAACTGTTTATAACGTTTTTCCAAATGGATATAATATTCAGCGATTCCTTAAAAAAAGTACACTCTTTTCGTGTTTCCTTTGTAGACCGACCTGCGAATCTGCTATAGCCCGTTTGTTGCTAAAGGTTCTCTGGAGTCCTTAGCGAACCTTACACTTCCTCTGATAGCTTTTTGTTGGCCTAAATATTGGTTTCACGTCGTATTTCTTTAAGATTCTCACAATCCGTTCGGTAACATTTTTTATATAGGAAAGGAAAGCTTTTCCCTTGACCAGCCTAGCTGGTTACCGCGTTTGGAATGGAAACAACAAGTCGAGCACTGCGACCATTACCACATCGCAGTCAATAATGTCCACCGCAGTAGTAGACGGAACGGCAGGCATGAAATCTGCAGACCACGGCCAAAAAAAACGGAAAATAACTTTCATAGAGTTATGTTCCGGCCGTGAAACTTTATATTCTTTGATCAATTTGTATGTTGTTTTTTTGATCTTGTTTATGAATATTGAAAAGACCCATGGAAAATGCCTGTTAACTCCTCGAACATTGAACAACTGATATATCAAAAACGACGTGGTTGAAACGTTTGAAATTCACTGGTAGTGTTGATCATATTCACTTAACTATTGCCAAAGTTTATCAGAAATAGAAAATTGATCTTTTTTCTGATGAATATCTTCAGATTTTCGTTTTGAGTAAGTTTTTGAATCACCAAAACAAATTGATGACAAACAATCCTATCAAATTTGAATAAAACAAAGTGTGTGTGAGATATCATCGAAATTTTTCAGTCGTTTGAATGACCTATTGATGCCATTATGTTTGGAATATAACATCGTTCAAATGTCTCCCACGGCTTCTCTGAGTAGAACGCATCCGAAACATCCAATTTTCCATGACTCTGGCGCATAAATCAGGCTGAATATGACTGTTGGCGTGGGTTATATTGGCTTTGAAAACCGCTGTGATTTGTGACTGATTAGCATACACCTGCTACTTGCGAAATCTCCACAACAAAAAGTCCAACAGGGTCAAATCGCACGATCTCGTTGGCCAGTTCACATTACCTCCACGTGGGATGATCATGGCCTCAAATCGCTCGTGCAGAATATCCAATGTTGAATGAGCTATATGGTACATAGCGCCGTCCTGTTGAAACCACGTGTCGTTGGTGTCCAGATCATTCAGTTCAGGCCAAAAAAGTTGATAATTATCGACCTATAGTGCTCGCTGTTGACAGTGATGGCCTAGCCAACGTCGTTCTCAAAGAAATATGGACCGAAAACGCCGCCAGCCCAAAATCCACACCAAACAGTGACTTTTCAGGACGCATTGGATTCTTTTGGATCTAATGTGGGTTGGTTTAGCCCCAAATTCAACAAACTTGTTTGTTCACGTACCCATTCATCCAGAAAAGGGCCTCATCGGTGAAGATGATTTTTTTATGACAATTAAAGTCAATTTCCAGTTGCTCCAGAGTCCATTCAGCGAGCACAGGTCGTTGTATATTGATCGTTTATCTTCAGTTCCTGGGTCAGTTGAATCTTGTACGGGTGTGGTCTGCGAAAAGTTCTTGTGAGGGACGTGAAATCGACTGGCTCGGATTCTCCTGCACACCCTCACAGACAGCGGCGATATTTTCGGTAAATCTTGCGTTTCATTGATGTTCGGGTGAAAAACTTGTCAAGTTGACTTGGGTGTCACACCAATAGGTGGTTCCACTTATGTTTCGCTTGCATTCACGCAGATATTTTTATCAAGTACTTTTCTAATTTTTCACATTTTGTCTTCAATCTAGGACCGCCTGCCCGGTACTGACAATGCCCAATAGGCTGAAACAGCTGTCTACCGGTGGCTCTTAAATTGAAATCAATATGAGAATGAACAGAAAGTACTTATCTATTCATATTTTGATTTTAATGGAATTATTTTCCAGCAGCTTGACTGCATTAACCTTTTTCGATTTAATATCATTTCTAGAAACATGTGGATTCGTTTTCCGATTGCATTTCAGGTTAGCTTCCCAAATTTCTGCTACCGCAGTTGTCGGTTGATTGGTCAAACCACCAACACTGACATAAAAACTTGTCAAGTTGACTTGGGTGTCACACCAATAGGTGGTTAATGTGTGGCCAGAAATCTGTGGATAACTTCACGCCAATAAAAGACTTCGGACATTCAATAAGACCATTATTCAAATATTATCATATATGAATGATATTTTGTATATTCAAAATAGACTCAAAGTAACCACATTCACTCTTCTTGTATGATATATGAATAATTTATGATTTATGTGGTGTGACATATAGAGGGAATCATTTGGCCTTGATGAAAAATCAATTAATCTAGTGGCGGCTCGGGACATGCCTACCAGAAACATTTATGACCAAAATATGTACGCCACTGACGTTTAACTTTAAGTTGGGTAAACATTAAAAAAGCTTTTTTATCCCTTGATCTGTTTTCTTAGGTCGCTTTGTCATAAAAAAAGTTATAATATAAACGAGACGGGGTTAAAAATAATTAGTGTAATATGCACTGAAAATGCAACTAATTGCTTGCGATGTTTGCCATTTATCAAGTTAGGTACATGTATTGTTGTGACAATATCAATACAAAAAAAGATTTTTTATAAAATTAGCTTGAAGGCGCCCTCGCATTCTATTAATTAAGAAACACCTTGTAGAAACGATGATGAATGACAGTTTCAGAATGTTTTATTCAACTCTAGACACATTAATTCAGTTAGTAAAATGCCAGAGACATTCAATAAAATAAGACAAGGAAGCAGTAAAAAGTATCAGATCATAAAAACAGTTTTTTATAAAATGAGACTTTTTGTTCAAAATCATGTCTTTCCTTTGGAAGACTCACCTTTGAGAAAATCGGGGATTGATATGCAATGCTATGTCGCTATTGGGATTTTTTGAACCGCATAAGTTGATGGAAAACCTGAAAAAGATTATTCCCTATGTTATACTATCGATTATAAAGGCAGTGGTGTAATAAGGCTATAAAAGCTTGTTTTGGTAATATAAAAACTAAATGAAGGATCTAGGAATGTAGGGTTTCACGGCTGGCGTCAATGTTTTGGTTGGTTTTCGGAGACTAGTAGATAAGGCAATATTCTGGAATTGATTTAAGACAATCAAAAGCAGGTAGCTAGAAGAGGTATATGTGGTATAAATAATGATAACATTGTAAGTGTATTTATAGTTTAATCCTTCTCTTGAAGATGATCCATTGGTGATCAAAACACGTGTCGAGGTGTTGAAATAACGGTTTGGTGTTGGGAAAAAACTCCAGTAATATTTAATATCAGCATAGTACATGTAGCGCCGAAGCGATTACAATTCAGATATACTTTCCATATTATGGCTGGAGTTCCCAGGTGGCTCGAGAAGGTATCAACATATAATATATCTAAAACACGAAACTAATGAAATAGGTAGTATTCGATATCGGTGACACCAAAAGAAATCTGAGTTATCATTACAACCCAAATTTGAGAATTATGTTTCATTCAGTATGATTATCAGATATGTTTCACATACATTTATGCTTCGGAAATTTTTCCTTGGGTCTGGCTTTAGAAGAAGAATAAGAGACTAAATAAGTGGAAAAAGATTGAATACTTTCAAATCAGTCGTTAATGATTTATTGGTAAGAAATACAAATTACCGTCCTAAATGTGACCTGAAGAAAGACAGATAGTGAAAGATGGAATAGTTTTGTTCCAAATCCCTTTTTTTTTGCAGTCTATCTTTATTGCTTTCTCTAACATAATCGGCAAGGTACAACCAGTCCATAAGTTATAGTCTATGGTCTCTTTCGAATCTAGTGTAGTGCTTGCCTCTTTTGTTCGAAGATAGAACTATTTTATCCAAAATTTTATATTTTAAAAGTTTGAGAAAACGTACTTTATTCAGATAACAGAAATCAAAATCACACACACGAGTGTAATTTTTGAACACAGGGTAATTAAAGATTTTTGATATTTTTGAAGTACATCTAATAACTAGATTATAGCTACATTGAATTTTTAAAAGGATCATACGTTACATACAAGCAGAATGCCCAATATTACCCATGAAAATTGTATATTGAATTTGAATAATTTGAAAGAGAAATTTTAATCAATATTCTAAGACTCCACTGAAAAATTTTGAATAATGGGAGTAAAAATTGTGTTTCCGATATTTTATACGGAAAATCTTTTGAGGTGACCGATAAGCCTTTTTTTCTGGTTTCTGCAAAGTTTCTGTTCATTTTACTTTGTCAATGTATAGATATCATGTATCAGCAAATTATTTCCACTTCTGAGTGCCTCACACCCATTACAATTTGGTGCTAATATTTATTAAACAAACCGGCCCAAAGAGACTGACGAAATAACTTTGTTGGTGTTTTATATGCTGTGTACCAATTTCCGATCAATCAATGCTATATATTTTTCTCGAAAAATTGCCTACCTATCTACGCCACGAAGAAAAGTGACAAAGCCAGAAAATAAATCAAAACTGAGAAACAAATATCATTTATTCTTACAGATTATTTTTGATGCGGTATGCCGCAATTTCAGAAAAATTCAACTTTTTTCGTTGAACTGCATTTCTAAAACATTCAAGGTTAGGTGTTAGATTAGGTTCATTTTTCCATGAATTTATATTTCGCGCTTTCCTATCAGATTTTTGACATCAATTTCAGGAAAACCAATTGTAGTACTTCCATTTTGTGCCTTTAGAAACTTGCGTTTGTAACAAATTAACCATGCCACACAGCCCCCCTACGCCTCTGAGGAATGATTCTCTTTATTAGGTTAGCAACACTGATTATGGTTATGGCATGTGGCAGATGGCATATGGATGATAATAAAAACATTTACATTTAGCACTCAAGAAGTTTTGACTCTTACTTACATATTGCACTATCATACATACCTTGAGCAATCAGGACTGACAAATCCGCGAATACTGATACATGTACCTGGGTTCAAGTTGCTAGGTAAGTCCTCAACAAATAAAGGTAGACTGGCAGTTCGTTTCTCCATGTAATCAAAGGCGTCAACACCTAATTCCATGTTTTTATTATGAATGAGTAATCAGTGTATATTCAGTTCCGTTAGTCATAGCTTGATTGTTAAGCAGAATAGTTCAGAAAGAAGATAAGCTAAATTTTAACACCCACACCTTGAACACATTCTTTACTGATCATTAACCGTACTATAACAGCATCGTACAGGGTGAATCAATACTGGGGTGATTTGTTAAAAATTTCAGTGTTGTGAAATTTGAAATATTTCAACATGATTTTCTTAAATTTAAGTAATCATGAACAAATGAATGATACTTGAAAGTGTTCAAGACGAAATTTTTTCAAACATATGTTTACAAACGTTTATAACCTATACCCTGAAGAACGATGAAACACTGAAACAACTGCAATTTTACAAAACAAATCTAATATCGAAAATGTCAGTGAACACATAACCCCACCACTCGATAAAAATGAGGTTGCCTTATCGTTTGATTTACGTCAGTGAACGTAAGTAAAAATAAGATCTTCACATTCATTTGATTATATTGTTGAAAAAAAGGCGAAACTTATGTAGGTATTCTAATTTGGGATATTTAAGTCGAAGAAATGAATCAATCAGTTTAAATATACAATTATTTCATTATATAGAATTCTAAATTCTAATGTCGCCCATCCCATACTTTCGCAAGGATTCTTTTATAAATAAGAAACCTAATTAGAAATTAGAAGTAGAGTTATTGCCTTTTCCGTTTTCAAATCCAATATATCTGTCTTCTTTTTCATTTGATTAATGAAGGATAGAAACATACTAAATCTGCACCTAAGATTACACCAATTACCCTGTACTACACTCAGCGGTAGAACACACTAGCCTATGACGCTAGCAGAAACTAGAATCAACGTGTAGTGAAATCACGTTACTGGGTATTTGAGAAGTGAATTATTATCAATCGAGAGATTAAGGTTAATGAATGAGTTCATGTTGAGATGAATGAAAACTCCCACATTGATAGTAATGAAAATCAAGAAGATAAAACAGGTGTGCTAATTTCTATTCATATTTTAACATTCAGGTTATACTTGACTAACCTTAAACTAACAGGACAATTTTTAAATATGAGTGTAGAGTGAATGTCCTCCACAAAGAAGATAATCATGTTGAAAATGTTGATGTTCTAAACCAGGTCAAAAAAAGGGAGATCGTTGATGCGGAGATCCAAAGCATATTTAAAGAGTGTCAGTGTGAAAGATTTTTGGTGGACTTATGCACCCAGTCACAAGTCATAAAAATCATAAGTAGTTCATCATTAATCTTCAGTGGCAACATTAATGCAGGAGCATGAATTTTACCTTATAATATACTTTGATATCATGCACTTATTGTAAGTTTTTGGTAATAACAAATGAAAAACATGTATTTTCACAATTCAAAACTTGCAATATTTGACTCAAGACTGGTGCATGAATCAACCCTAAGTTGTAAATCGCAACTAAGTCGTAAGAATTCATATTTTTCATTTGGGAATACGAAAAACTTGCAATTCGTGCACATAGATATTTTGAGAAATATTATGTAATATCTATACTCGTGTGTGAATGTTGCCACTGAAAGTTAGTGCTTCAACTGCTTTTAATTATATGTGACTGCAAAGGTGTATGAATCCACCGGTACATATAATCACACAGGGTTTTTGGTATAATTTTCAAAAATAGGAATGAATGAATAGGAATGAAAGATTATTATAAGAATCAAATAAAAAGAAACAGAATAGGAGATAGAGTTTGATAAAATACGGATTGCTAATGAATGAGTTACTGATGATTGTCTCACAAACAAGTTATTTGTTATATATTCCATGTATCATTTACAAATTATTGCCAGTCATAATAAAAATATACCTATAAATTAGTATAACGAATCAAACGCTTGTTTCTCATTCTTCACATGGTAGATGAAATTATATATTCAGATTGATCAAATAGCCACTTCAAAACTGTTGAACATGTAAACCCCTTTACAAACATTGAAATGTAAAATTACAATTGATACGATACTTTGGCTACAATAAAAAAAAAGTAAAAGTATTTAGTAAAAGGTATTTCAATTTTATAGGAAGAAAACTTCTTTCTGACAGGGATCATGCCAAATTTATCAACAGTTAGTCAAATGTCTTATGTTAGCAATGATGCTAGTCATGGAGAGTAGAAGGTAGACATGTACTCATTCTTGATTCCTGTGAATACTTTCTAGAAGAGAGTGCTGGTGTAAATATGATCATTATGAATATGCATGGGAAAACCGAAACTTGAAATCATATATTCCTTGGATGTCTAGTAAGCGCTATTTCAGGTTTTTTTTATTATATAAACAACATGTCGGCAACAAAATGAATACTCCACCAACAATATGAACCTAGTTAACTGATCTTGACTTGAAAATATTAAAAATTCATGGAACATATTTTGATCACATTAATAATGAATTCACAACATAACTCTGGAAATAAATAAATAACAACTACAGTCACTCTGCTATAACACTGTTATCGATACTTGAAAAAAATCATTTTCACTGTCATTCTATATTTGTGCTAATTATCTACCCATTGGTAATTTTCAGCATAGAAAATAATCCTAAGAAAAAGAAAGCAAGAACCAAGTAATGACCACAAGGATTACAACTTGGTACCATTTAGAGAATATTGAAATTCCACAATATGTACATGAGAGGAAGCAAAAGTCAAAAACATAGAGAGGCGTATATTAAATACAGGTCATGATTGATGATAAATGGTTAGTTGTAGATTACAAAAAGAATTCTTGTAATCTGTAGTTCTTCATACAAATTTATTAGTGAGATTTGATAAACTGAACCACGCTTACTCGAAATGTTTGGTAGAAGTGAAATATTCAACAATGCTTCTGTTTCTGAAGAGTACTCTGTTGATCACAATGGTGACGACAACAGTAGTGGTATAAAGAGCGAAATAAAATGTGAAGATGAAATTGATATTATTTACGAAAATCTCAAAACTGAAAATGTCGATAAAGGAGAGGAAAATAAATGTGGGTGCTGTTTTAGTGATTGTTTTTGTAGCCAGACTAATTTCTTCCGCCAGGAATATTCTGCGGTGGAAAGCAGCAGTTCGGAGACCAACAATATGCAAGGTCAGGACATGACTCAGAGTGAGAATGAGTGTGTTTTTGATCCTGCTACAGGTACAGTATTGCATTCATATTATTCACCATATTGTAATTTCACTTCATTTCTGAAAATGTTCATAATATTAAAAAAAAAGTTGAAAGTAACTAAAATTTGAGCAAAAATTGTCTATAGATAATATTTGTTCTGAAACTGATGATATCACATTTTTTTTGCCGATGAATAAATCTCATTTTGCAAATATATTGTTTGCAGAAAACCAATACTTCTAAAAACTTGGTTACATTTTTCTTTCGAAACTGAATCTGATTTGTCAGAGATTATAATTGATGTGTCACCTGCATACATTGTTATGAATGTTCCGGGTGTTGCATACTCCAAATCATTTATGTACAATACAAACAATTTTGGTCCCAATATCGACCCTTTAGGTACTCCTAATTCAAAAATTGTCTATAGATAATATTTGTTCTGAAACTGATGATATCACATTCTTGTTGCCGATGAATAAATCTCATTCTGCAAACATATTGTTTGCAGAAAACCAATACTTCCAAAAACTTGGTTACATTTTTCTTTCAAAACTGAATCTGATTTGTCAGAGATTATAATTGATGTGTCACTTGCATACAATGTTATGAATATTCCGGGTGTTGCATACTCCAAATCATTTATGTACAATACAAACTATTTTGGTCCCAATATCGACCCTTTAGGTACTCCTAATTCATAGAGGGAGAGGACAAATTTTTAAATTAAGACTCCAATTTATTTCTTATACAATGAAATTAATCAATTATGTTCAGTTTATGTTCAGTCGATACTTGATGAAAATCTATAACGTATTCAAGAAATACTTCGTGAGATTTTCACTAGACATGTTCAGTGAAAATCTCACAATAAATTGTTTCTTGAATAAGTTCAGTTCACCTATTGATTTGTAATCATATAATTACTGTTTTCTTTTATCTGACGTTATTGATCATCAAGAGTATTTGTTAATATTAGGCTAATAATATCTCAATTATTATTTGTACTGTTCATTGATTGTGTCCTGTCCTATAAAGGGTTTAATTCCAGTCTGGAAAATAAAAGGTTTTTTAAATATCACCATACACAAAAAAGAAATATCCGACTTTCTGTTTTACAGGACAAGTTCAATGTAATCTTGAGACTTGTAACTTTATATCCAACACTTTCAATATAACTTACCAAAAAAAAAATTGAGAGATTACTACAATCATATTATTATCATTATATTCATTGCAATTTCACTTTGAGTTGCTTTATAATCTGGATATGTTGAACGACTAATGAACGTCTTTGAATATTATTGGGAACACACAATATAAAAGACAGTTTGTCTTTCATGTAATGTCTTTGATATCTTTTGCAGATTCCAAATTACCGATTCCTCTCAAGAAAGAAGATGAACTAATCGTGAAGAAAAAACAAGACATAATGTATGAACCACTGTCAAGAGTACCATTACCATTTCAGTGTAAAATCTGTTCAAAATCTTTCATTAGAGGTGATCAATTGAAAAATCATCAAAAGAGTCATACAGGAAAGAATTCATTTAAATGTGAAATGTGCTCAAAATCTTTTACTAGAGGTTACCGTTTAAAAATTCACCAAAGGAGTCATACAATAGAAAATTCATTTCGATGTAAAATATGCTCAAAATCTTTTGTTAGCGGTGATCAATTAAAAAATCACCAAAGGAGTCATCCAGGAAAAAATGCATTTCAATGTAAATTATGCTCAAAATCTTTCACTAGAAGTTCTAGTTTAAAAATTCACCAAAGGACTCATACAGGCGAAAAACCATTTCAATGTAACATTTGTTCAAAGTCTTTCATTAGTGGTGATCAATTGAAAACTCACGAAAAGAGTCATACAAGAGAAAATTCATTTCAATGTAAAATATGCTCAAAATCTTTCGCTAGAAGTGATTATTTAAAAATTCACCAAAGGAGTCATACAGGTGAAAAACCATTTCAGTGTGACATTTGTTCAAAGTCTTTCACTCTAAAATGTATTTTAATAACTCACAAAAAGATTCATAATCACATATTCCAGTGCAACATCTGCTTAGAATCGTTCTCTCTGAAGGGTGACCTAATTGATCACCAAAAAATTCACAACACTGGAGAAAAACCATTCCAATGTAACATATGTTCAAAATTTTTCACTAAAGATGATCATTTGAAAATTCACCAGATGAGTCATATGGTAGATAAACCGTTTCAGTGTAAAATCTGTTCAAAATCTTTCAGTAAAAGTTGTCGATTGAAAAACCATGAAAAAACGCATACAGGAGAGAAACCATTTCAGTGTAACATCTGTTCGAAATCTTTCACGCAACCAAGTAGTTTGAAAAAACACGAATGGAATCATAGATGAATGCATTCATCAATAAAGCTTTAGAAAGAGGTAGTATAAAGTTTATCGGATTAGTTAACAAATTAACAGTGTAAAATATATCCATTTGCAATCTTGAGAAATCCAGTTCCATCTTTCACATTAGTTTTGAGCCCGCAGGGCATCTCATTTAAACATCATGACACCCAAAAGCAGGTCCACATGGAATCGTCGTGATCTACAGGGCTATGCCATAAATGAGACCATATTTGTCACTTCACTTCTACTTACCTCAGTTTGTATTTCTGATTAGATAATATCATCATAAAAAATATCAAAGAAATTATTTCATGATATGGAATTGGCCGATACTTGATGAAAATGCATAACGTAACTTTCCCACATTTTGGAAACAGTTCTGATAAACCAAGTCACTGAATTTATATCTGCTAATCGATGATTTGAAAAATAACAGAAGGCTTTTCAAAAAAAAATTCAACACCTAAGCAGCCAATTGATATCAATTCTCTAGATGGTAAAAATATGTGATTGGAATTTTTCTGGATCTGAAAATAGCCTATGATACAGTGGATTACAAACTGTTGATATTTTACTTGAAAAATTATGGCATCAAAATTTACAGTGTACAGGTCTTATAGCATAAGCAAAAAGGTTTCTCTGAAAGACTCTAATTTTGTATTCTGAAAGGAATCCTTCAGTTATTCAAAAAGCAATAAATATTAAGAGTAAATCGTTCAGAATTGGCTGGAAAGTAGGACTCACTACAAATGAAATTTCAAAAATTCATAACAGATATAGCAAGCGCCAAAAGTGATGGTGAGCGATCTCACAGGTATAGACTCTCTCAACTAAATTACTATTGGATTACGATAAGCCCCTTGCCGTCCAGTGTAATAACTATAATTAGTTTTATTTAGGCTAGCAAGTGGAACATAAGTTTTTTGTGATTTCTTTTCATATTTTATTTAGTATTGTGGGTAATAGTACAGTTCAATAAAATGTTATATAATGATACCATCTTGACTGGGTTTTTATTGGCGATGACATTTTTTTCAGAAACAACACAAATTATTCAGACAATGCCAACAGCATTGGAGAACAAGTAATGATACGCCTCTGTGCAGAGCGTTTGTATGTCTTGCAAGAGCTGTAGTGGGGGTTACATAAAAAATGAATGTGCGCAAGGGGGGGCGGGCTCACCCCCATGCAGAGTCGCCAACCGTAGCGGAATTTACTCGGCAGTAGCGGATTTGAACATAAAGTAGCTGAATTTTCTACAAATAATCAATATTGAAAAAAATATGAAAGAAGAAGAGGCAATGAACAGCACTCGAAGATGACACTTGAATGCATATGCATAGTCAATACGATATAGTCTTAGGAGCAAGTCTCGAGTATTATAAATTATGTGAAACAAATTACAGTGGAAATGGAAGATAGTTCATCTGATTAATACAAAATACAAAAAGTCTCGAAAACAATATTTTTCTCAACATTGGTTGTCTGATTCCAATTTGAAGGGATGGATTAGACCTGTCACGAATGATCGTTCAAGAGCTCAGAGTGACTATACGTACGTGAACAAATTGATATTTATTTTTACTTTTCAAAATCATTATTTCAAGCTAAGAAATATTTGGTCGAAACGATAACTTTCAAAAATTAACTGCTGAAAATTTAGAAAATTAGATACCATCTACTGAGTTGCGCGGTTGAAAATAAACATAACCTTAATTATTCATACGGACGGTTATTAGCAGAAAAATCATTATTTCAAGCTAAGAAATATTTGGTCGAAACGATAGCTTTCAAAAATTAACTGCTGAAAATTTAGAAAATTAGATACCATCTACTGAGTTGCGTGGTTGAAAATAAACATGATCCTTATTCCCGACATCAGTTCAGTTTTGTGGTATCTGAACGGTACACAAACTATAAGTTCTGTGGTATTTAATTTTTGATAGAGCGCACGCGCGAACTTATTGCGTCAGAAATACACACCGACATAACTTTAATTATATACACGTGCAGCGCTTGCTGTATATAATTTCAAATTTGAATTTACCGAATGTAATATTACGCAAATTTGAAACAAAAATATTCAGGACTTTTAATGAGCGGTTTTAAACTTTTTATTTTATAACAAAACTAGCCACATCACTCGCGGACGGTTATTAGCAGTGGAACATTTGTCTATGATTATATTTTATCAAACATGTACAGCTTTCAGAAAAATTAACAACGGATTATCGACTGAGAACTCAATGCTCGAATATCGATAAACGAGGCTCTTCGAAGTGGTTAGTTGAAAAGCCAAGTTTCAACCGTCGACAAGATTCGTCCTCTTGTTATTCACTGCAAGACATCATTATATATGATAATTATATTTTCAGGCGTCGCAATACTGACGCCCGAATATGCTATTATATAGTGAAACACGTGTCGGAGTTTTGTAAATTGACACCCAAAGATGCTATTATACAGCGAAATAGGTGTCGCGGTTTTGTAAACTTTCAAGTGGAAATTTCGCATTAGTGTTTTTTGAATACGTTAAAATGTTCCATATGTGTCATCTGTAAGTCTGTTATTGATATAGGCAAGTAATTTTTTCGCAGACATCACAGCAAACGATTTCTGATAAATTGTTATTCTCTAAACATTCGCAGATTATTTAGAGAACACACGGGTGTTCCCTAAAGCATACTGTATGTACTAATTTATGGTTATGGGCAAAGACCTAGCACCAGAAGAAAAAAAAAGAAGAAGAATATTTCATGATTCTTCATGGTTCATGATTGATGAGATGAGGTTATGTAAGAAAGTTTGTAAATATTTTAACTTTAGGTAACAATGTCTGCCCAACTGGGAAAAGTATTGAGTTTAATACTGGTAGAGCGTTTTGGTCCTGTGATAGAGAAAGTTGCACTTTATTTATTTCAATACGGACCAAGTCCTATACTGCATATAAAAAAATGCACAGATTTTCCCTTAGAATTGGTAAATATAAATAATTTATGTTATAATTCACTGTCTATTGTTCTATTCTTCACTTATAGTGATTTCCATTGGTAAAACAAGTGCCAGGCGAGTGCATATTTTATGTTCCATTGGTTAAAAGAGCCTATATTTTTTAACATGAGATCTTGGAGGTCAGCCTCAGTGCTTGGCAGGACGAAGGCGCGTCAGGAGAAAATGAAAATCTTTAATCAATCATTTTGAACCTCTTCAGTAGTACTGAACATATTGAAATAGTACTTGAATACCTTGGGAAGAAATAAACAAAATTAACACATAATAAGGTTCAGTAATGAAGCAGTAAGTTGGACAGAAGTGAATCATAAATAAAAAAGTTTATTTCATTATTCAAGAAATTTCAGAAAAAGAAGGGAATAGCTTTCAGCAACTGAATAATTTTAGGTGCAGCATTTTCTATTAAAAAATCTTACTCATTCATGGAGGTAGACAAACCTTCAACTTTTGTGGCATTATACATGATTGATTTCCATCAACTTCAATTAATATTAGACACTTGATGTGGCTAAAATATACTGTATATTTGAGTAATGTTCATTACTTATATTTTTTTCTTCAAGTTTCTTGTAGATCCTGAGGTGATATTTTTTAATATTTATTCTGATTTTATGTTGAAGTTACAAGGATTTGTTTCCAGAAACATTGAAATCACTTTGAAATAATGAAAAATTATTGTATTCTGGTCGCCACAAATTTTACCAATGGAAAGAATTGAGAGTTATATAAGGGCATTTGAAAACAAAAACTAATCAATACAGTTTATTGAATGATCGAAACATTTGGTTTGTATTGATTAGTTTTTTAATATGGATTTTCATCAAGTATCGGCCAGTTCTATTCAATTAAGTGCATTTGCAAACAAAACTCAAGAAAGAAGCTGTTTCCTTAAGCAATCAAAATAGGAATTGTCAGGACAATGTATGAAAATGGTAATGAAAATAAACATTCTTATGCTTTCATATGCCATATTGTAGAAATGCACTGACTTACAATTCCCCCAATGTAATAGGGGTCAGATTATTTAATCTGCTACCACTTGAATTGAAAAACAGTACCTATCCCCAGCTTCAAAATTACACTTAAGTCTTTCCTACTAGAGAAAACCTATTACTCCCTTCAGGAAATAATTGAATAATAAAATGAAAATTTCAATGAATGTATTACTCTTAGTAAATTGTCTTATTTTTAGTTTTACTTTTGAGCAATTTCTGTTCTGTTTCTCTTCACTTCATCATGCAAACTTCTAATCGTCTTCCCTAACGTTAGTTTGGCTTCCAACTCAAATTATCTTATGGCATAGGGGGATGAGGTTCCACTCAGTTTAACCATATGAAGCAATTTGAAGTGACCCGAAAGATTTTAAAGGTAATCTTTCAAACCAAAATGTCCTTCAGATTCTCTTATTTGTTGGTGTAAAGTTTTGGATGTAAGCCAAATATGTTTCTCATTGAAATACTGTTACCGAATTATATGGACAAGAAAGTCTTCAACATTGACTGACTGTAGGTCAGTAGGTCACAGACGCTTCACTTATGTTTCATCAATAACTCATTTTCCAGAAGAAATCAAATCCAAAAAACAGTTTTTCTATGAGTTAAAAAAGCACATTTACTTCCTTCACCTTTTTTAAATATCAATGCAATGAATGTTATACAAAAATATGTTTTTATTTTACTTCTTTTTTCCACCACTTTGTAACGCCACATGTATTCGTTAAATCAGGAAACTGTTACGATATAATGTGGAAATATATGACATTTTCTTCTCTCTCAAAAATTATATAATAATAGTAATAATAATCGTCTTTATTACCACAACCACACAAAAAAATAACAATATCAAGTTCTAACTACATATATGAAGTTATAGTAAAAGGCGAAGTTCAATTTTCGCAGCTATGCAAATAACTGCTAAATTGTTCTTACCACATGTTCAATACTACCAATAAACATTGTTATTATCATTATTTTAGGTGAAAGAGGCTCTGTCAATAATGACGAAGGCTGATATGGTTACATTTACTCCAAACAAAAATGAAAATATTGCGAACTATATCTTGAAACCTGACAGAGTCCTACTGGCATTACGGTATCCAAAGTATATGAAACTGATAAAGATGAAATTTGGAGATGAGTGTGAGATGATTATTGAAGAAATCCTGCATAGGAAATATTGTACCGCTTCGGAAGTTATAGTCGAAGTTCAGGAGAGATTATCAAAAAACAACACCAATATCTCATTTGCTCTAGTGAAAGATAAATTTGTGTCATTGGTGACGGCAAAGTATTTGATACGGTTACAAGATGTTGGAGTAGAGGAAAAACCAGTCCCCGTGTTTGTGATTGACGATAAAGAACCACATACAATCCCTCCACTCGACATAAAATTGATTCTACAAGCCAAAGCTAATAATACAGATTTTCCTGATGAAGGTATCGTTAGAAAAGACTATTAACATTCGTTCATTTATTTTTATATATTTCTTCAAAACCTGTAGAATTTGAAGTAGAAATTAAAGTTGACCTAGTGGATAAGGATTTCGTGTGGAACACATGTATTTCTTCTAAAGTACTTTGTGATTTTATCCATTACAAACATATAAAAAATCCAATCTTTTCACTTTATAATCTAGTACATTTGAGTGTCAGTAGTTGATGTTTGTACGAAGGCAGCCCTGTAAGTTTTACGACTATATAGTAAGAAACACGTGGAAATGTGACCTTGAAAATTGCCATATGATGAACAATACACTTCTGCATTCTCCAAAACCAATTACTTATTATTGCCACTCTAAAAGTGGTACCTCCAAAACGTGTATTTTGAATCATGAATCTCTTCTTCTGGCGTCAGAAATCGTTGACCACGTAGTTTATTCTTGATGGTTGGGAATATAAAGAAGTCATTGAGTACCAAATCAGGACTGCACCCATTTATTCAATATTTGGGCTAATTTGTGAGGATTTATGGCAAGCAAATGGTTGCGTACCACTTATAATTGACTGATCTACGTTTCCCTAAAGGTACTGTTGTAAAATGACCAGTTTTTCTGAAAAAAAACAGAATCAATTTGTTTTGAAGTGCTTTGAGTGCAAACAACTTTTGTTGGGTTAGGTTCTTTTTGAAAGACCCACACAGTTAACTGCTGTTTAGTTTCTGGCTCATGACTCGTCACCTGTGTAGGTGTTATGTGAACTGCATTTAACCCACTCCCATAGAATTTCTCAAGAATTTTTTGCACCAATTCAAACAATCTTGGTTGAACAAGTATCAAATTGTGTGAGATCCAACAGTAACACATTTTTTCACGTCCAAATGTTCATGCAATATCGTTTGTATGCAATTCATACCATCACTTTGCAGTGATTTTTTCTGGCACAGCACCTGATTTTATTTGTCAGTGAGCGAACTACGACCACGATTGAATTCATCGAACCAGATTGTGAGGTGCTTCATTATTAAAAGTATATCGAAGTGTATCGATCAAGTCTTGTCTCCATGATCCACAAGGAAAGTGTTCTCATGTTACTTACATTTTCTCACTGAGACACAATTTTCAAGTTACTGTAAACAATACAACAAAACTTCGAATGACAAAACATTTTGAGGAAAAAAATGTCAACTGTCCAACTTCTTAATGGTACTGCTGAATTTCACCTATCAACGCCAGTATTGCCAATAACAATCAACATGACAAATGGTGCTAATGACAACTGGTGTATCCAAATACAAAGAGAAAGAAACTCGGAAAAAATAAAAGTGTTTCAAATGAAATCCTTATCCAAAATGGTCCTCAGAATTAATGGATTATTATATTTCATTCTGTTTTAAAAAAATCTCATTCAACAGAAATCAAATTATGATTGATAAAAACGTCAAAATTTGAAGTTAATGAAATTGATTTCGAAATACTTTCTCAAGAATTGCTCGAACGGACCAGATTTCACTTGACAATGGTTGGCAACTTGTATTTTGATGACAATATATCAAACTTTCCATTCTAGTGCCCTTTTCAATAAAATCATTCACAAAATAGCCAGGGAATGATTAGCAAATTTGTTTGATTTTCAGGAATGTATGATTTAAAAAAAAATATCATTGTATTTTTTCACTCACAGACTTGGGAGATATTTCTACGTGTTTTAAATCGAATATTATTATATTATTCTTTTTGCAGTTCTTTCTATAATTTCCACCTTATTTTTAGGCAAAATGTTTTCTTTTTCTAGACAGATGACTCTGTTTGAGCTCCTCAATTTTCATAAAAGTCATGCTTCTATAGCCTCAATAGCAGATTTTATTTCTGTTCTGTTTCTCTTCACTTCATCATGCAAACTTCTAATCGTCTTCCCTAACTAGGGTTCCGTAACCCAGTGAGTGAATTAGTTTATGGTCTGCTTTATGGATTCAGTCTGTTGAAGTTTTTTATCAAACAGGCTGGGTGCGATATGAGTATCGAGGTTAGAGATGTGACGGGACAAATTCAAATTTACCTTGCAGATTCTGATTGCATATCATTTGATTTCTTCGTTATTGTATCGAATTATAGATGTATATTGCTATTATTAGCTATTTATTTAAAAAAAAATCACCTCAAAAGTACCAAAATTTGGATATTCGAAGACAGCCCTCTACTAGAATCTTCTGACTAAAGCACACCACACACTCTCTTCGAAGGACGAATGATGAAAATGGCCATTATATCTGACAGGTCATAATGAATTCAACAGCTAGTGCTGCCAATATTAAAACATAAAGACCCTGCTCTTTCAAGTGAAATGTGGTCTATTGTAGCTTATTGATATATGCTTCAATAACCTATTCTAATCTAAAGTATTCTCAATAGGTACATACTTTGGCGTCAATTTCGATAGATTCCACCAGGATATGAGAGATAAAGTTATCGTTGAAGCTTACACTAAAAAATTTGATGAGTTTGCTGGGGAACTTGTGGAGCTACTACTCCAACAAATGTACATCAGAACAGATCCATGGGCTGGTGTATCCAACCCAGTTCCAATTCTTGAAATTAAGGATATTGTGAAGAAACGAAAGCAACCATTGAATCTCATTACTTTTTTTGATCAGTATGTCAATGTGATAGGTATGTGATATATAGGTGGGGTTGTGGGAAATTCATTGGGTTCTTAGTTGCAATAGTCGCAATATAAGAAAAATGGTGGGAAGGTATGCCAACTCATATTTTTTTAAAGAAATATTGGTAATTGTCCATTTTCTTGTTTGCCCTAGTTTGGCTATTTGAATCTGATAAAATGATACATAATCAATACGATTGCGAAAGTAAATAATTTCACATATATGATTTGAAGCTAACACAACAGATTATGAGGTCTGTTGAAAAAATAAGGTGAATGTTCAAATTTCGCGGGCTAAGTAAATTCGATTAACGATTTTTTAATGTTGGTAGACTCGTCTCGAACATATGTTCACAGTTTCAGCTGTTTGGCGTGTTTTGTAAGTTGGTGAGGGGCATGAAAGTTAGAAGGGTTTTGCGTGTTCAGCGATTTTCTGTTATCGAAAAAAGTTGATCAATGAATTTGCATCAAATTTTGTGTAAAAAGGAATTGAGTGCTCAAAAACACTTGAAATGTTGATATTGACATATGGCGATTGTACTTTGAGTCAGAAAAATTTTTACAAGTGGTACAAGCTTTTTACGGAATTCCAGAAGATTTGATCGACGACGTAGGACACAGCACATAAACAACTGATGAAACTGTTGAGAAAATGAAGAAAATTGTTATGGAGAATCATTGAATCACTATTGGCAAAGCTGCTGAAGATATCAACATATCGGTTGGCTCATGCCATGCAATTTTTTCAGAAATTTTGGCCCTGAAGCCTGTGGCAGCAAAGTTCGTTCCAAAATTGCTGAATTCCGACTGAAATAAATCCGTCACATGAGCATCGCTCAGGAATTGTTTAAAGACGTGAACGGTGATCTAGATTTCCTCAAAAGGGTCATAACTGGTGACAAATCATGCATATATGGTTCTGACATTGAAACCAATGTCCAAGCATCCCAATGAAAGAGCCCAGAAGAGCCAAGACCAAAAAATTACGCCAAGTTCTATCAAATGTCAAGGATTTGCTCACTGTCAGGAGTTCTTGCCACATGGTCGTACGGTCAGTAAGGAGTATTATCTTGGAGTTATGCCCCGCTTGCGAAAAGCAATTCGAAGAAAACGTTCGGTATTGTGAAATGATAATTCATGGCTTTTACATCACGATAATGCACCTGCTCACTCGTCATTGCTTGTTCGTAATTTTTTTGACAAAAACAACACCGTAATATGCCTCAGCCACCGTATTCGCCCGATTTGTCCCCCTGCGACTTTTTCCTGTTTCCAAGATTGAAAAGACCCATGAAAGGACGGCGTTTTGTCACAATTGAGGAGATAAAAACTGAATCACTGAGAGCTGAAGGCCATACAATAAGTGCATATCAGAACTGCTTCGAGGATTGGAAAATAGCTGGCACAAGTGTATTATATCTAAGGGAGACTACTTTGGAGGGGACAAAATAGAAATTGATGAATGAATAAATATTTTTTGGGAAAAATGAAAATTCATCTTATTTTTTAAACAGACCTTGTATATCTACCACCATAAGTGATTGTTACTTGTGGCTTTGATAAAAAGAAAACTTCAGTAAGTTTTTTCCGTTTATCAAGCGTGTATTTATTCATTATCTGTCTCAAATGAACTGACAATAGGGAGGCATAAACAAAAAAATGAAAATGATCCCAGCAATAAGATCTGCGATACTTTCTCCCATGCAGGAACTTGTTCACTGCCAACAAAATTTCAACAGTCATCGCACTTTTTATCTTAGAGGTTTGCCTTATTTATAAACATGAATCGAAGTTCGACTTTGCTTCTACTCCTTATGCTACTCGTAATAGCAATTATACCTTTAGACTTNAAAAAATCCATAAACATAAAAATATATAGTGAAACAATTGAATTGGTTGAGGAATTCAAATACCTCGGATTTATGATAGACAACACTCTGAGCCTAAAAAAACATTTTAATTACATTCATAACAAAATTATTAAAAAAATATTCTTCTTTACAAGAATTAGTAACACGTTGACATTTGAAACATCACTAACAGTCTATAATACGATAATTCGACCTCATTTTGATTACTGTCCAACACTTCTCAACCTTTTTGATGCAAACTCTATATCCTCTTTGCAAAAACTACAAAACAGATTTATGCGTATACTCCTAAAATGTAATAGATACACCCCTATAATGACCATGCTTCAGGTTCTCGATTGGCTATCTGTAAAAGACAGGCTTTCCTATTTTTCCATGATATTTATTTTCAAAATTATTACTGGAAAATTTCCTACCTATTTCAACCAGTTCATAACTTATCAAAATGAAATCCATGATTACCCTACACGAGGGAATAAGAACTCACAATCAGGAGTAAATATTCAGGTAACGCTTCATTGTGACATTTGCATTGAACAATTCACAAAACCGCAACACGTGATTCAGTATAGAATAGCTGCCTCAAGCATGTTCATACTGTACGTACCTGAATGTGTTATGAATTTTCATCAAGTACGAGCCAATTTCATTACAAAAAAATGTATAATATGCACCAAGTACACTTTTGTTCCTATATGCAGATTTTCTTGATATGACATGAATAATCTTAAAGCAAAATGCTTATTTATGTTGCAGAACAAGACCAAAGTAATTTGATAAGAAAGTCAGGGGAAGCAAGTGGAGGATCTTTCCAGATATATCTGAAAGAAGCTTTCACCCAATTTGCTTGGGAAATCGCAGAACAATGTGTCTTAGAGAAGTTTGATTCGAAAGCTGCTCGAATTTTCAGACTAGTCAAACTGAAACAGTATGTCGAACTTGACCTGATACAAAAACTGACAATGATAAATCCCATAGAAGCCAAAAGGTTAACTTACGAGTTACTGGAGGAAAATTTTCTTCAAATGCAAGACCTGAGGAAAGCGGCTGCTGGGAGTGGTATTCAAAAGTCTTTTACATTGTTTCATATAAAGTTGAAACAGGTGGTGAGAATGATCATAGAGCTGTGCCACAAGACATTGTTTAATATTATGACGAGGAGGAATCACGAGAGGGATATGAATAAGAGGATAATTGACAAGAAACAAAGGGTTGACACTATCGCGATGGGGATGAGACTCCAGGGAGCCAGCGAAGAACAGTTAGCAGACGTAAGTTGTTGCCGAAAGGTAGACTTGGAACGTAAAGTGAATTGAATGAAATCATTTCTCCTACTAACAGCAACACTTTTCTTGTTCATCTCCTGATGATGCTAACTTGGTTGGCTAAATCTATGTTGACTAAAATGTTACAGGTGTGTGGGAGAAGTGTTTTCATGGGAAGATTGTTGATTTAATTTTATTCTCTACATTTATTTTTGTTTCATCTTCAGTGATCAAAAGATTTCTTTAATTATTCAATAACTTGAGTGCTATAACAGGAAAATATTTACAATGACTTCGAAGTTAAACATCGTTTTCACAATTAGGCGAACAGGCTGTGTATCAATTCAATATTTGTTTACTATACCTTTTTTGAAAATTCCTACATTCATTTGGGTATATAACTTTCCACAATCTGAAAAATGAACAGATGAATCAATAGAGAATCTGCTGAAGGGCAAACTGATAAGTTCACCTTGAAAAGTTACTGCGTAATATAAACCAAGTCATTAACCTGCCGTATTTATAAATTTTGACTACAAATTGAAAAAATCAATTGAAAAAAATTAATAATTTATACTTAGCCTTCGTTAGTGGTCGACGTTTCAATAATGAATTTATTTCCACCATTAATATGGAAGTGTCCAATCTCCATATAGTCTTTTTCAACTAAAATTACTTTTTTAATCCTTTTCTGAAGACCACGGCAAAATCCGGAAACCAACCAAAACATTGACGCCAGCCGTGAAAGCCAACATTCCTATACATGGGTATGTGGTTATGATATGGAAACTAAAGTCGAATCATCGCAATTGAAGAGCACAGGAGAGCCAACACCGAAAAAAAACGGCAAGTTCGATCAAATGTCAAGATTTTGCTCACTGTTTTCGTCGATTACTGTGGCATAGTGCATCGGGAGCTCTTGTCACATGGTAGTACGGTCAATAACCAGTATTATCTTGAATTTATGCGCCGCTTGCGAGAAGTAATACAAAGAAAATGTCCGGTATTATGGGAAAACAGTTCATTGCTTTTGCATTTTGTCCGAAAACTGAGGGGGACTATTTTGAAGAGGACAAAATAGAAATTGATGAATAAATAATATCATTTGAGAGAAATGAAAATCCACTTTAATTTTTGAACAGACAGTGTATACCTATGTAGCCAATGTACCAGAATGTTAAGTTTTGAAATTTTAAATCTGCAGAATACTCACAAAATATATCACATTACATAAGAAATTCACTGCACAAAAAGAAAATACATTTGCATTCATACCTTCCATGATATCTATTTAATATGCATGCAAAACAAAAGCTTCCAGTCTTTCATTACCTTTGGCGATTTTCTTTCCTCTTCTATAACGCGCATATGGAACACACATTGTTATTTTTGAGTTATCTCCTGAGTTTTTGATTCCTCTATTGTTTCAAATCCACCAATGCATCTAATGGTTGTTCCACGTTTTGTTTTCTTTCCTACTATATAAATCTACCTGTAGAAAAAAACTTATATAACAACTATTTAACCTCATTCCAAACTACCTCACGTAGAATAACTCAACATCTACAGAGCGTAATAAACAAATTGGTAATTCCACAAAATCAAAACTTTCACTAGCCCATCTATAATGCACTCAAACTTTCAATGTTAAAAAAATTAATATGAGCAACTTTTACCAACACTGAAAAAAGATGAAAGGAATGAAGAACTACTTGAGGCAGCTAAAAAATAAAAACAATTACATCTTCAGCAACATAACATAAACGATGTATCACAAGGAAGTACTCTTGGGCCTCTTTATACTGCTTTTTTCACCTGCCTCTTTGCAAATGATACTACTTTTTCAGAACACATAAATATAAATGGTGATTAGGCCAACATTACGACATAATATCGTAGAGGACATTTCTGACTGATTCCAAACACATAAACTGAATTGAAATGAAACAAAAACCATGTTATCCAGAACAAAATGCCCTGAGGATGATGCGGTGAAATATCTACACATATCAACAAACTCTCAACTGATCTGTCTCCAAAAAGATGTATTCTTTGACAAATTGAAGGTGCCATAAGTATAGACGCACTTTTTACTACATATCATTCAATCTTCCACAGCACAGTGACATTCGGATCTATCACATGGGAAGTGTCCATACATGATGGGTTTACAATTCAAACTGAATCATGTAACCTTGTTTCATTAAATCAAATGAGCACTACCACGAGCAATAATACTCGTGTCACCTGCTGTACAATATAGAAAATCAATGTCAAACAGAGATAATCACTACTATAAAATCTGAAGATGAAATAAGAGAACACAATAATATTATGAATAACGATGACGGACCTATACCGAAGAGCATACTATATAGCTTGTTAAAATTAAATAAAATAATGTTGTTGGGTTTACTGATTACTACATAAGGACACATTGCAAAAATAAATTTGGATAGGCAATATTGTGAAATAAAACTAGGAAAAATAAATCTGCTGTCAATATATTTAAGTCACTACCAGTTCCAATACAGACTATTAATATAAAGTGTATTTTATGCACAATTTTGTTTATATAGATCTGTTTGTACTACATGTATTTTTTTAGATTATATGACTCACTAACTCATATTGATCTTTTTTATATATAAATATGATGTATTTCTGATCACGAATATTAATTTATTAATTCTAAACCTTTTGACAAAGGTTATTCCACTTCTGAAAAGCATCAAGAACTTTGTGGATAAACTACTTACTACTACAAAGAGTATTCAATCATGTGACAATATATAGGATCAGTAATTACAGCCTTGAATTTCATTAGTTCGGACTTCGGTCATCACCCGAAGAAGATTGTGGATACTGACAATCGAAAAGTTGTGAATTAATTTGGCTTGAAATTTTTAGTTTTTATTTCTTTTTATTTGTTGTTTGAATCTGTTCCTTTATTGTAATTTCATTTCAGGGTTTTTTGCTTACCATAATTGTTTTCAGCTATTTGTGTTAATTTTATTGATTCTTTCAGGGATTTGAAATCATTTCAATTCATATTAGACAATGGAAGTCTGAACTAATGAAATTCACCATGAAATATTGTCGACCACTCTCAAACAATGCTATCTTGTGATATACCATTCATGAGAATAATAAAACCAGTAATAATGTGTTTGTATTGCAGATAGAAGAAATGATTACTCCTCCAGAAAAGGAAATTTTAGAAAGGGTAGAGAGAACCATGCACAAATTCAATAATTGTGAGTTAGCAGTTGACGATACCCTATTTATGTTACAAATGTATCTAATTTATGAATAAAAGTATTTGTTGTTAACACGGTTGTTTTCAGTCCAAAAATATAGGGCAGATGATGTATGAATTGAACATTAATGCTCTAATAAGCAGTAACATCTGAGAAATCAATGACTTCGTCCCAACATTTGCTATAAGTTACCTGTTGTAAAATAAAATCTAGAAACATGTATATTTTTCACTTCGAAAAATACTTGCTGAAGTTTTGATCACTAAACATTCTTTATAGAATGTATCTATTTGTTACCCCTGTTTACCAGCAAACTAAAATGGGTGCATGTGATTTATTTTGAAACAGCATAATTTTTAGGTAGGATATTGTTCTATTTTCGTAACATTTTATTTTGAATATTGAATCATTGTTGTTGGCTCAAATATAGTCGAAGGTCCTATAAACTAAGGAAAATAGTATCCTCGTTGTTTGTCTATGATGTAATTTAAATTTTTCTTCAAAGATGTCGCCGTGTTGAATGGTTGAGGCACAGAAATCCTTACAGAAGGGACGCTCATCTATCGGGACTTTGATGTTGAAGGGTCAAGTTTCTGTGTTCGAAGTGTTAAATGTCATTTTTAGCGATAAATTAAATTTATTTGAAACCTGTCACTTCTTCGATTGACGACTTGTTTATTTTGTGGAAATTCATGTTCACTGAGGATACACTACAAAAACACACTTTTGTCTATTTTCCACTATATTTCTTTATTGTTGACCGGTTTCGGCTATTATACCATTTTCAAAACTAAATTTGAAAATGGTATAATAGCCGAAACCGGTCAACAATAAAGAAATATAGTGGAAAATAGACAAAAGTGTGTTTTTGTAGTGTATCCTCAGTGAAACCTGTCAGGTGAATATCTTGATTGCAGTCGAGGAATTATTACGATGTCATCTCGGCAGCTTGTTATGCCAATATTTCAACAAATTCAACCAAAAAAGGTCAATTTCACCATGTTCAAGGAATAACCCCTCAACGAAATTTTTAGGTTGACAAAATCAAGATTCTCCAAAAGTTCATGTTTACTGTTCCGTGCTGAGTTTCCCTTCTGTGGTTGAGGCATATAGGATCTATAGCACAGAACACCCTCTACATTCTGTGTATCGAACAGACGACGTTGTAAAAGAGCGTGATCTGCACATTTTTCCACAAGTTCCACAATATTGACCTAGGCATGAGAATATGAATAACTGTTTCTCTCAAGAGCGCTCAGGACCAAAACTCAGGTTTTATATCTGAACGGAATAATTGAATGAAAGCAACATGCAGGAAAATAATTTAGGATGATAGCAATGCTTTAGTAGTTATCACACTTATTATCACAAATAATTTATTTTAATCCAAAAGCCCTCTCTCTATCTTGAATTCAACTGGCTGGCTGACACGGATTCTCCTCTACCGGGTACTAGGTGGTTATAAAAACTTCTTGAACATATTATTCACCGTCGCCTGCATAGTGATATATGATTATATATTATTAAAACCTTGTATTTATTTTTTTGCTGCTCACAGAAGGGGCAGCTACCCCTCAATAAGTTCATGAATTCTCCCTGCTGAATGACTGGGTGAATGGTACTTAATAATGATAGAAAAACGTCGGTGAGTAATAAACGCCTGAATTGGATACTTCGCTCTTCGGATATGGAAGTACTACGTACACCAAGAACTATGTGCAAAAATGCTGTAAAATTAATTTACATATCATTGCGAACTTGCGATGTTACTTAATTCTGTTTCATAATTGGCAGCAGTGATATTCAACATATAATATTGAAAAAAAGACGTGTCATTATTGTGATTCGAATAGGAAATACATCTGGCCCACTGCGCCAGCACGTCATCAGTCACAAAAAAAGAGAAGAAGAATGAGGAATACGCTTGCATTGTTTTATACTTTCAATTAGTTGATGTCCTATATTTTAATTATCTGTGGTCCGTCTCGGTCTCAGATATCTCAAACAGTGAAATATGAAAATAGCCACAATTTTAACTCGATTTAGCCTTGAATTAGAATAACTTTCCCGAAATCTGATTATTTTATGAACAATAAAAAAACATTATTTTACGAGTGTTTGCTTTTGCTGTTTTGCGAATTTTGTTGTCGAACTTGTCAGTGGCGCCGCAAAATCTACTAATTTTCTAATAAAGATGGTAGTCGATTCATATATAATTGAAGAATGCGGACCTATAGACGTGTTAAAATATATTCCAGCGTATTTTCGATCGCAAAATTTATGTTGGATACTGATTTAGGAATTGTATAAAAAATATAAAACAAATAGTTTGTAAAATGCTGGAATGAGCTAGGACATGATAATAATACAAATACAATACAAAGTCAAAAATTTTATTAATACATTCATACATTTGTGACATATACATAAATAATTAAAACTCATAATTACATTCTATACAACAAGTACTCAGTACCTAATCCAATAACATTCAGTATAGTAAAAATAACACTGATTCAATAAAAATCACTTCACTTGAAGTATCGTTGAAGTTTTTCTCTAATCATTTTTCACAATTACATACAATGTCTGACTAACAATTGAGGAGTCAATTTTTTCTAAAATATTGGAACTGTGATATAAAAGCAACCTAATTTTCTATCGATGTTCATAGAGCACAAAGAATAGAGTGAGACTGGTACGAAAAGTTATTTCGATGTATATTTTGTTAAAAATAATAAAGACAGATTTAAATTATCCAAATAATACCATTCAATATGTGCGTAAATAAAAAAAGTTATTCGTTATACAAAGAAACCAAATCTAATCCATAAATCAGTTTTGGGGGCAATTTGACATTATTCTTTGTTATATTTCTGAGGTCATTTTTGCGGATGATCCAAGTTTGGATACCAGCCAAGCGGAGGTCTTGTTATTTGCGTCGTCTTGCAGGTCTTTCGTATGCAAAACATGAAGAGACATCCTTCAATGTCTTATATAATATAGGTACATTAATTTGAAAACTGCAGAAATTAAAACTGAATTTGGAAAAAAATCATTAAACGCCAATGGAATAACCTTTTGAATTATTTACGTGGTATACTGAATTGACAAATTCTGTTACCAAATTCTAAAAAGATTTTGATAATAATTAAATTGAACAACTAACTTTTTTTTGTTTTTCATCTTTAAATATTTCAAATATATTATAACATTTGGCGTAATGTTGATGGCATTCATGTATATATGTATTGTTTGTGAATTTGATATAAAAAAATATAAGTAGGTTTTTCTTTTGTTAACATTTCTCATTTCTAATTTAATCATTCAATGGTAACTTCTTTTTCGAGTTACCATGATCTTTTTCTTGTTTATCATTATTTGAGTCGATATTTTGAAAATTATAAGATAGCACGCTTTTCATAGATTGATATATTATACTTATATGATATATTCAAAACATTGAAAATATTAACAATTTCGGGTTACCCCATTAATCCATTCACAAAATTCCGTCGACAAGGTCGATTCAAACCTCAGAGTACCTATTACTCTGAGATTCAAACACATCAGTCCCGTCACAGTTCCGGCACCGAAAGGGTACCGTCCCGTCCCAGAGCTATTCGTTTCGTCTGTTCGTACACACCGGAATGCATCATTCTTCAGCGACCAATCTGTTGAAAAGATGGCAAATTTCTCGGATGAAGAATTAGCAATTGCTATATGTTTGGACCACAGATTAAGTAACGAAGAAGGAGAAGCGGAAGCAAACCAAGTAAAAAGACGAAAATGGATTCATGACGCATGGAAAAAAAGAGATATCGAAGGAGAATACGCGACACTGTATAAAGAACTGCTTCATGATGATGTAAAATTTCATCAATATTTTAGGATGTCGAAAAACTGCTTTAACGTATTGTTTTCAAAAATTAAAAAAAAAATGAAAAAAGAAGACACAGACACCGGAGAAGAGCTATTTCACCAAGGCAGCGTATGACAGTTTGTTTAAGGTTTCCTCCCAAATATTATTTTTGACATTATTGTCCATATATTTTACATGCTACAAATCATATAAAACATTATATTTTCTCACACTCACTTGTACCGCCCAACATGTTTCCGGCAAAACCAAAAAATATGGTCGCGGAGATTATAACATCGGTCGGTAGACGGGTCGAAACCTGTCTGCTTGGAAACTTTGGCAATGGATGAATGTAAACGCCGGTGGCATATTTCTATTAAAGAATATTTTTTATGACGTATTGTTCCGTTCGGCGCCGGAACTGTGACATGACGGGATTGATGTGTTTGAACCGACCTTAAGGGAAATAGAAAGTACCTAGTCACCGAAAGAGAAATCAAAGATCATGAAAAGACGAGAATGGTAATTCTGGCATTTGACAGCCAAAATGCACTGCATAGATCTACAGCCCACAACCCACAACTGTATACAGTACGAGTGGACATATAATTTTTTTTTTCATTCAGTTGATGGTTTATGTGTTTATACTCTTCTATTCTAAATGTTATTATTTTATAAATAATTCACTTGAAAAAATTTACAAGCAGGTTAGTTTACAAGGTTTACAAGGAAGCTTAACACTTTGAAATTTCAATAAATTGATGGATGTAACCGTTACAATGTGATAGGAAATCATACTGAAGAAACGAGAATTGAAACATTTAATGTTTTTTACCACTTTTATTTTAACTAACGTTACTGTACAGTAACCTTTAATGTATAAGTTTGAAAATGTCCTTATGGGCCGAAACTGCAGTAACGTTAGTTACGAATGAACGTGGTAAAAAAACAGAATGTTTCATCAACTCACTAGAAGGGAAGATGGTATACAATTGGAAAGTTCCTTTGTTTAACAAATTTTCTGTGTGTAGACAGTCAAAGCTCTATGAGGAGCTTCCGGAGTGAAAAGAACTTTTCCATCAACTTTGTAGTCTTCATATCTGAGAGTGTAGTGCTTTTCAAAACCAAGTTTCCTCGCCGCACAAGCTGAATAGTGACTGGTGCAGTCTACTGAAACGAATCCGCAGCCGATTTTCCTAGCGATGTCTCTGAAAAAAATTAAAAATCAAATGTAGCTGTATGTCTAAAAAATACGAAAGAAGGCCATGGAAATCTATTATATTAGTTTTTCGCAATTGATATTCACAACTGTCAATTCACAGTTATAAATGATAATTTATAGTTATTAGTGTGAACAAATTCTCAGTTATAACTGTAAATTATGACCAGCGTATATAGACAGCGAACTCTTCGCATCAGGGCCGTCGCCATGGGGGAAAGGGAGGGCTTCCCCCCTGCTTTTTCGACTTGGGAAAAATTTGGGAAATTTTGGCCCATGAAGATAGAAAAAAATAATAGTAAAGAAAATTAATATATTATAGTAGTAACTAATCCCTCGGCTTCCATTTCTTCGAAAGTTGAGAAATTTTGCTGGTGGGGTAGGGAAAATTTGGATTCCCTCCCGCCCTGGTTTTTCTTTTCGCTACGGCCCTGCTTCGCATGCATATTTTGTACTCGGTCCCATAGATATCAATATGTAGGTACGTTTTTTCAAGTTCAAGGTCTAGTACATTTTTTTTTTCTATGGATGCAGCAGGATCTCATGTAATTTTCGTATATTGCCCCTTCTGAAGCATGCCTTCGATCTTCTGCTCGTAGAAATTAGTATCCTTTGAAACGATAGCATTTCCCTTTTCTCAATGGTGTTATTTCTTGATAGATCAACTGTTTTCTGATATTTCATTTGAATTATTCTACCTTGGTCTGGTAAATAATGAAACTGGTAGATTTAACTACACTGATTATCTCCAATGTCGCCACATATGTTGGCGAAATGTTAAAGTTAAGATCTCTTCCAAGCACGGATCAAACTGAAAATGTTTCTATTGCAATTACCATTGTTGATCATATTCACGTAAAAATGGTTGAGCATGTTTCAGTCAGTTTCAGACATTTCATGATTGGCAACACTGATATACATATATAAATATTAAGAACAAAAAAAAGTATGTCGAGGAAATGTATGTGAATGTTAATGTATTGTTATTACAATTTTATCGGCAATGATGCCAGCTATCAATACATTATTTTAGTTGAATTACCCGTCAGAGGATGAACAATATCAGCTTTACGTTCACTAGATATGGATGTTATACGACCAAATCACAAAATTCTTTTTTTGAATGAGGTGAAATTACAATTTTTTAAATTAGAATAACAGTCTTCTTAATATTTTCATATGTTGAATATCCGTGTTGCCAATCATGAAACACCTCAAAACTGACTGAAACATGTTCAACCATTTTTACGTGAATATGAGTAAGAATGGTAATTGTAATTGGTCATACAGCATGGCATATCTGATGCATATGAAGTCGATCCTGTTCATCCTATATGAAAATCTGTGAAAGGTTAATTCACTATTCTGTGTTTTGTTACTACAATACAATATGCAACAATGCCAAACTACATATTGCTATAGAATGAACAATAAAAACTTCACGTGCACTAGGTATGAATATAATATGATCAATACAGGGTGTAACTAAATTAGTGTAAAACATTTGAGCAGGTGTCTCCTCATCGAAAAAAAGATAGGATCTTTCATATAAAGAAATTTCATTGGAGTATCCCTTGTTAAGATACAGCCCCTCAAAGGGGGTACAAAAATGTGTATAACAATTTTTTTCACAAGCACTAAAAAAGTTACAACATTGAAATTAACCTGACGTTTTGTACTACCA